ATGTGGCAGCTGGATTCCCCGCTGAGCAGGCAGGAGCCATAGTCTGTGCCTAAAGGGCCCTGGGCTGGGAGCCAGTGGAGAGGGAGGGCCCAGGTCCCCCCACGTCCTTTTTCCCTACCCTGGACAAACAACCCCCTGGCCAGGAGAGGCTTCTGTGGCGATTAGGCCTCAAGGGCCATATATACCCTGATAGAGGAACGTGAACTTTATGACTAGGCCACAAGGGCCATAGAAGGTCATAGTGACCGGACAGAGGGGCCGACGTAGGGAGACATTATCCGGCAAGGTGGCCCTCAACGCCGAGGGAGAACACACCCCTCGACAGGAGAGAAGCCCCGTCCCCGGGGGCGTTGTACTTCCCCACCCTCACACAGCCCTGCTGCTGGGGGGGTGGCCTTATAGGGGGTGGCTTCTGGGGTATTGGAGGGGTGGAATGAATGGGAGGGTGACAGTTCCCAAGGGTTCAGGCACCCCCTCTCTTATTCTCTGTTTTGTGTGTTTGTTTGTCTCCTGCAGGTTGTGAGAGTCATCAACTTGATCCTCCTATGGAGAGTCATCCACCTGCAAGACCTGGCCCCAATCGTGACCTGATTTGCTGCCCTGGGGTTCCCGAACTGTGTTTTAAGTAAAAGCCATAGATGGGACCCAAATCCTGATCTGTGTACCTGAATATCGAGCGGCCCAATACATAAATTGCAAGAGCTACTTTTCAGTGGTGCTGCAGGCCCTAGTCAACCACTGTTCTTGGACATTTTTGTCGGGTGGTTAGGTAGGGCACATGATGCCCAGATTTTTCAGAACTCCAGCCTCTATGGGAAGCTGGAAGCGGGCATATTCTTCCCCCGCCATGACTTTGAAGTCGAGGATGTGCAGATGCCATTGTTCATCATGGGGGACATGGACTACCCCCTGATGCCGTGGCTTATGAAGCCTTGTACCAGCCACTTGGACCCCCACAGGGACCAATTTAATGTCCACCAGAACCGGACCAGCATTCAGGTGGAGTGCGCCTTCAGCTGCCTCAAGGCACGTTTCAGGCGCCTCCTGACCTGCCTGAATGTGGGGGGAACACAACATCCCTGCGGTGGTGTTGGCATGTTGTGTCCTCCACAACATTGTGGAGAGAAAGAGAGAGGCCTTCCTACCAGGGTCGGGGGCAGAAGCCAGCCACGAGGGGAGACCCTTTAAGCAGCATTAGACAGCTGCCATCCACCAGGCCCATCAGGCTGGGGGGGCACATCTGGGAGGCCCTGAGGGAGAGTACTCCAGTAACTCTCCCCAGAGCCTCCCCTCCTCCCAGAGAGGCCTCACATTTGCTGCTCTATCCCTTTCCCACCACAACCCCTCCCTTCGCCCCTTCCCTGACCTCTCAGTAAAGACACCTGTTTGGTCTTGAACAAAACTAATTGGCTGTGTCTACATTTCCATCCCTTTCCGGAAAAGGGATGCTAATGAGACACTTCGGAATTGCAAATCTGCGGAGGATTTAAATATCCCCCGCGGCGTTTGCATTTACACGGCTGCCGCTTTTTTCCGGCTCAGGGTTTTTGCCGGAGAAAAGTGCCAGTGTAGACGCGATTTTCCGGAAAATAAGCCCTTTTCCGAGAGATCCCTTATGCCTAGTGCATTAGTCTGGGAGCTGACCTTGTCCGTGAGGACAGAGGCAAAGAAAGCATTGAGTGCTTCAGCTTTTCTCACGTCATCTGTCACTAGGTTACCTCCTTCATCCAGTAAGGGTCCCACACTCTCTCTGATCACCCTCTTATTGCTAACATGCCTGTAGAAATCTTTCTTGTTATCCTTCACATCCCTTGCTAGCTGCAATTCCAATTGTGCTTTCGCCTTCCTGATAACTCCCCTGTATTCTCGAGCAATATATTTATACTCCTCCCTGTTAACTGTCCAAGTTTCCACTTCTTGTAAGCTTCCTTTTTGTGTTTAAGCTCACCAAGGATGTCCTCGGTAAGCCAATCTGGTCGCCTATCATATTTGCTTTTCTTACTGCATATTTGGATGGTTTTTTCTTGTGCCTTTGATAAGGTTTCTTTAAAATTCTGCCAGCTCTCCTGGACTCCTTTCCCCTTCATGTAAGCATCCCAGGTAATCCTGCCCATCAGTTCTCTGGAGGGAGTCAAAGTCTGCTTTTCTGAAGTCCAGGTTGTGTATTTTCCTTTCTTCCTTTGGTCAGGATCCTGAAATCTACCATCTCATGATGACTGCTTCCCAGATTGCCCCACCTCTACTTCCCCGACTAGTTCTTCCCTGTTTGTGAGCAGCAGGTCCAGCTGAGCATGGCCCCTGGTTGTTTCCTTCAGCACATGTACTAAGAAATTATCCCCAAAATTCTCCAAAAACTTCCTGGATTGTCTGTGTACTGCTGTATTGGTCTCCAAACAGATGCTAGGGTGATTAAAATCCCCCATGAGAACCAAGGTCTGCGATCTGGAAGCTTCTCTCAGTTGTCTGAAGAAAGCCTCGTCTACCTCATTCACCTGATCCGGTGGTCCATAGCAGAAACCAACCACAACATCACCCCTGTTGCTTCCACCTCTAAACTTAACCCATAGATGCTCAACAGTCTTGTCTCCCTCTAAATACTGGAGCTCTGAGCAATCATAATGCTCTCTAAGGGTATGTCTACACAACAAAGTTAATTCGAACTAACACGTTAGTTCGAATTAACTTTGATAGGCGCTACACAGGCAAACCGCTAGTTCGAACTTAATTCGAACTAGGTAAACCTCATTCTACGAGGACTAACGCCTAGTTCGAATTAACTAGTTCAAATTAAGGGCTGTGTAGCCACTTAATTTGAACTAGTG